CACACCACCTCCACCACTACCACCACAACTACAACTACAACAACAACAACTCACAACCGCGCTACCCCTGCCATCACCACCACCACCACAACTGCAACAACCACCACCTACAACCGCACCACCCCTGCCACCACCACCACCACCACCACCACTGTAGGCCACAACGGCGAGGAGGCCATCCCGATGCTGATGCTGAATCACGCTGACGGGAAGGGCGACAACCCGGCCAGATCCAGGGCGCCGTCCAATGCGGACAAGAGCGGTAACCCCCCAGCAGGGGCTGACAATGCAGTGTCGGCTGCTGGGGCCAACAAAATCACGGACGTCAGACCAACGGGTAATTTCATCTCCGACCATACATAGAACCTACCCCCACAGTCAGATAGAGCTAGTTCCCAGCTGCTGCTGCTGCTGCTGCTCTACTACACACGCTCTCGCACGAGGCCAACACGCCTCCTAATTCATCTAATTTTCATGATTAGGATGTAAAACGTTTTCGGTTTATATGGATAATATCTAAATTTTTTTGCATCTTTACAATCCATACTATAAATCTAAGGCTTAGCCACCAACTGAGTCACCCAACTTGTGTCAACTGGGGCGTAAAATGTTCACAGCGCTTATGCTTCACAAGTAAGGCCTAGTCTACCCAACTCCTAATCGTAAATTTCCCATTTTTTCGATGGGGCCGCACAGCACTCACAACCATTCCGTTCACCACACAGCTCACAGTCTTCATAATTATACAATAACCCACATTTTGTCAATAGCAGTGTAAGAACATTTTCAATCATCACAAATCGCTCCTGGATTTTCAATAATATTGTCTCAACTATATCGAAGATGACGAAGAACATTTACTATAATTATCTTCACAAGACATACCTTCCTCCTAAATTATCTCAATTGTGTCAATGTGGACGTAAAACTTTTCGCACCATGACATTGATTAAAGCGCTTGCACAGAGAAGAAAAATGAACGTGCCCGCACAGGCGTAGAGAAATCAAATAGAGCAGCCATCCGTTCATGTTAGCTGACAACACCATACAAACATTCGCCTTGTCGACACACACACACACACACACACACACACACACACACACACACGCACACACATCCATTATGCAAGTCTTGTCTACGAGCAGATCTATACACTCCTTTCCCGCTGTGAGACCTATATCAGAACACTATATCGGAGTAATGATGAAATAAACAAGAAAATGTGGACACACACACACACGCAAACACACACACATACACACGCACACACACACATACACACACATACACACACATACACACACATACACACACACACACACACACTCAAATGCGCGCGCGTGCGCACACATTTGAATATTCAAATCATAATATCAACGAGAGCGTACAATATTTACAATTAATTATGAGATCGGTTCAAATGCAGCATAACCTCGGTATAATGCACATAGCTTAAGACGTACTCCGAGCTGTGAGCTGTAACGTTCTCTTCCTGAAGCCTTCAGTCCCATAGTTGTATTAGAACTCTCTTTGGGTTATACTTACCCCGGCTAAAGCGCTTAGAATATTGAGTCCGAAGGGAGTACGTTAAATCGAAGTCTTACTGTTCTAAATCAAACCATTTGTGGCTTCCTATTCTCATTAATCAAAAAGTGAAATAATACTATTTTTATGAGCTACTGCATCAGCACCAAGTTGAAATGTTGTAAAGTATGGTTATCTTCAATCAGACAGTAGATTAGCCCCGCAAATTTATATCCATGTGCAAAACAGATGATAATTTGCGAGACTCGACATATTGGATTATGTGGTGTGCCTACGACTTCTAATACGGTTTAGAAGCATTTCGAATTTCCTTTCGATTTCTGTTTTTGACTGTGTTGCACGCTGTTAGTCTCGCATAAAATGCTTCTGTGCTGCTTCCGGTGTGTTGGCTCTTTTCGTGTCTTCGTCTCGCTGTGTGGTGTGCTTCACGTCATCTGTGTCAAAGTATGGAAGAGCATCTGACCATAGACGTGCATTGCGGAACTATTGTTTGATTTGTAATATAACTAACCTGTATACTTTTCTGTTCACCAGCTGCTGTTGTTAAAATGATATAATTAATTTCTGCTAATGAGGCTACTTGGATAATGTTTCAAGGAAGGTATATTTTCGTAGTTAGTATTGTTACGAATATTCTGTACAAAGAAGTAAAAATGTGATTTGTGATTTTACCCCATTTCATTTCCAAAACATTTTGTTGAGGATAAACATTGATTGTATATTGGGTTGTCAGTAGCAACCAAACATGGCGTCTTCTGCCTCATCGCAGACAAATGGGAGTCGAGGCAAAAAGCCAATACAACATTTTCCGACAATAAATCCATATATATTAGAATATAAAAGTTATGTAAAATCACTTTATTTAGTATCTCGGAGGACAGAAATGAAATATGAATGTGAATCTACAACAATATCTGATCCTTCTTCTTCTGAACTATCTAAAGTTTTACTAAATATAGTTCGCTTTTTTATTGTATTGGAGTGTATTTCTGTTTTGTTGCTTTGTATTTCTCATGATTATTTGATCTTTGCTTTCAAAGAAAAATACAAACTAAAGAAAAAAAATAACCAAAACGCCTTTAAGAAACTCAACAGAAGCGAAAAATGTTCCGGTCCTGTAAGTCACTTGAGGCTGAACAGCCTTAGATGTTCTACAACGTGTTTGTTTCTTGGGTTGACGAATCCACGTTCCACAAATGTGCTGAGCTGACAGATTAGTGACACCTGGTCAAAAAGGACGACTTGCGACAGGCAGAAAAAAACTCAAACAAACTGGTCTTCTCTGTGATCCCAAGCAAATCTCCTTTTGTAAAGCAACGTCCTCTAAATAGCCTATTGTTCGTGAAAGTATAATATCTAAAAATTGTCAAGATTTTTATGTGCTTTTAAATCGTCTGTAAGTAGTTACTTTTACTTGTACTTGTTCATCTTGTGTTACCGTTGAGTGTTGAGGGGAGACGCATTTTTCTGTGGTAGGACTACTCTGCAGCTCTTTCAATTGAGATGTAGTTTCTCAGGGTTCCCTTCACTGCCTCAATCCATCTGTTGCGTTGCCTCCTTCTTTCTTTGTGTGTTACTGAATGTAAGTCTCTATGGGGGCTGTTTGACCTTGATCTAATGATCGAATGCTTTCAATGAAGTAAAGAATGTTTCGAACTATAAAGAGGTCTCCCTTGCTAATGACATTATAATATTGAATTGCACATAGCACCCTTGTTTGAATAGAGAAGTACGATGTATAAATAAATGCAGTCTTGCCTTGTTATTGCCCAGGCTGTCACTACCCCAAACTTCAAGATTTCAATAATTCCAGAAACTTTCCAGTCTGAACTAAAAGATTTATGCACACGAAGACTGCAATTTTATTGCTGATGTAGCTTAGCTTAGTGTGCGCCTAATGTGTGGAGTAAATAGTAACATGATTCTCCTTGTAATTATAGCCGTATGTTCATGTGAATATGTTTCCCTGAGTGTGTGTATGTGTGTGTTTGTTTAATAGTGTCTGTGCGTGAATGTGTGTATTTGTGTATATATATAAATGTATGTGTTTATGTGTATGTATAGGTGTGTGTACGAGTATGCAAGCAGAAAAGATTGTTATTCGTTACGAAGCACTTATTTAGCACTATGCAACCACACAGCACACAAGAGTCCATGTCTATTTTCGCAAGGGGCACCATTTGGAGTCCTACTTGTTCAGAATCTCTAAAAGATTAATTAATTCGTTCTTTGCCACGTTGCAGCTTCTGCCAATAGGTGCAATCGCTTTGTGATTTGTTTATCCGCCATGAAGTCACGTAGCGAAATTCCACGTTGCTGACAAGCTTTAGAGCGTGTTTCGAGCCGTAATGTATTCTTCATGTTGTGAGTTTCGTCAAAGAATGTTTCCAAATTTGGACATATACTCCTGCCTATGCAAGTTGCTGTATTTTGGAGGAACTTTAGTCATGCATGGTGAACTTTGAAAGGGTGTAAGTCCAAACTTAGACAAACTGACCAAGACGGTTTGAGTTACAAAACCTGAAAGGTTAGTTCCTTGCCTGCATTTTGCCAACCATGTTGCTTGTGTGCGCTGCCATAACCGATTTCATGCATTACATAACACGCTTGATATGACCCAAGTTTACCCTACAAAATAATAACATTCCCTGACAAAAACAAAGTTCCCCATATTAGTCAAATATCCCTCATGAACCTTATGAACATAAACTTGGCCCTTTTTGTCCCTGTACATAGTTAGCCATGACCCATCGGAGCGATCAAAATCAAAGAAAATTCAGCAAGTATTAAATGCGAATATAATGACGTCCCTATGCTTTCGTTTTATTGTTTACAATTCAATCAAACGTACTTTTATCTGTTGAAAAATGGCCAGTTTTCTTTTGCATTCTTTAAATCTCCAGCAATTTACCCCCCCCC